ACAGTTAGTTTCTGCCTACCCCTATTGATTTTGGTTGGAATGGACCTTAAAAATCACGTAGATATTCTCATGTATTATCAAGCTATAAAAATTATGTGCATAATATACAATATATGTAAAATGTATATATACACAATATTGCATATTGTATATACAATATTGTATATTAGATTGTATACAATATAATATACAAGTTATACATGCAAAAGTCCATGGGACCTGATGAAATCTATCTGCAGGTCCTGAAGGAGCTGGCAAATGAAGTTGTTAAGCCACTGTCCATCATGTTTGAAAAATCGTGGCAGTCAAGTGAAGTTCCCAATGACTGGAAAAAGTGAAATATAACCCCAATTTGCAAGAAGGAGAAAATGGATGACCCGGGGAATTACAGACCAGTCAGTCTCACCTCTGTGCCTGGCAAAACTTGGAGCAGATTCTCCTGGAAGGCATGCTAAGGCACATGAAAAACAATAAGGTGCTTGGTGACAGCCAGAACGGCTTCACTAGGGGGAAATCCTGCCTGGTCAATTTGGAGGCCTTCTATGAGGGGGCTATGGAACTGATGGACAGGGGTAGAGCAGTTGATGTCATCTACCTGGACTTGTGTAAAGCGTTCGACACTGTCCCACACGACATCGTTGTCTCTAAGTTGGAGAGACATCAATTTGATGGATGGACCTCTTGGTGGATAAAGAACTGGCTGGATGGCCGCACACAAAGAGTTGTGGTCAATGGCTCAATGTCCGGCTGGAGACCAGTAACGAGTGGTGCTCCTCAGGGATCGGTGTTGGGACCGGTCTTGTTCAACATCTTTGTCGGTGACATGGTTTTCTGGTTTAAACTCAGCCAAACAGTCTCTCTCTCACTCCCCTCCGTCCCCCCCCCCCCCCCCCCCCCCCCCCCCGGCTGCCGGCAGGGATGGGGAGGAGAATCAAAAGAATGTAACTCCCATGGGTTGATATAAGAACAGTCCAGTAACTAAGGTATAACACAAAACCACTACTGTACTGCTACCACCAATAATAATAATGAGAAGGGAAATAACAAGGGAAGAGAATACAACCGCTCACCACCCACCGACCAATACCCAGCCCGACCGAGCAGTGATCTAACCCTTCCAGGTAACTGCCCCCAGTTTATGTAGTGGGCATGACGTGCTGTGGTATGGGATACCTCTTTGGTCAGTTTGGGTCAGGTGTCCTGTCTCTGCTTCCTCACGGCTTCCCCTCCCCCCGGCAGAGCATGAGACTCAGAAAGTCCTTGGTCAGAGTAAACATTACTGAGCAGCAACCAAAAACATCAGTGTGATCAGCGCTGTTCCCAGGCTGAAAGTCAAAAACACAGCACTGCACCAGCTACTAAGAAGCAGAAAAACGACTGCTGCTGCTGAACCCAGGACACATGGACAGTGGGATTGAGTGCACCCTCAGCAAGTTTGCTGATGGCACCAAGCTGTGTGGTTTGGTTGATACGTTGGAGGGAAGGAATGGCATCCAGAGGGACCTTGGCACGCTTGTGAGGTTGGTTGATGCCAACCTCATGAAGTTTAACCATGGCAAGTGCAAGGTCCTACACCTGGGTCTGAGCAATCCCAGGCATAGCAACAGGTTGGGCAGAGAAGAGATTCAGAGCAGGCCTGCAGAGAAGGACTTGGGGGTGTCAGTCAATGAGAAACTGAACATGAGCTGGCTTCAGTGTGCGCTTGCAGCCCAGAGAGCCAACCGTATCCTGGGCTGCATCAAAAGGAGCATGACCAGCAGGTCAAAGGAGGTGATCCTGCCCCTCTACTCTGCTCTTGTGAGACCTCACCTGGAGTATTGTGTGCAGTTCTGGTGTCCTCAACATAAAAAGGACATGGAACTGTTGGAACAAGTCCAGAGGAGGGCCACGAGGATGATCAGGGGACTGGAGCACCTCCTGCATGAAGACAGGCTGAGAAAGTTGGGGCTGTTCAGCCTGGAGAAGAGAAGGCTGCATGGAGACCTCATAGCAGCCTTCCAGTATCTGAAGGGGGCCTACAGGGATGCTGGGGAGGGACTCTTCATTAGGGACTGTAGTGATAGGACTAAGGGGTAATGGGTTAAAACAGGGGAAGTTGAGATTGGATATAAGGAGGAAGTTCTTTCCTGTTAGGTTGGTGAGGCACTGGAATGGGTTACCCAGGGATGTTGTGAATGCTCCATCCCTGGCGGTGTTCAAGGCCAGATTGGACAGAACCTTGGGTGGCATGGTTTAGTGTGAGGTGTCCCTGCCCATAGCAGGGGGGGGTGGAACTAGATGATCTTAAGGTCCTTTCCAACCCTAACTATTCGGTGATTCTATAAGTTACATATGTAATATAACTACACAAATTACATAACTAACTAAAGCAATTGTTTTCAACAAGCGTGTGTAGCAAAGTTGGATTGTGGTGATTATATATGTATCTATCTGTTACATTCTGCGTTGCAGTACTACAGTTCTAACCTACTCAGGATCCAGCTAAAGTTTATGGTTAAAAAAATGAGACTGAACAAGACTCTCTAAAAACACCGTCCTTCTAAAACATTCATATAACAACAAACCACCATAGTTATTTTAATACTTTTTGTATCTTTTGGCCCAAATTTTAATGCTGATCCTTCTTAGAGTAAATATATGTTTCAAATCTGGCCATAGCACTCCAAATTCCATAGGGAAATCAGAATGTTATAAGATCCTCAGAAGAGACAAGAGGGGAGTCAAGTCCAGGGAATGACCCAAATAAAATAACTTGTACAATAGGAGTGGAGTCCAGTTGCAAGCCGAAGTGTTTGCAGACAGGCTAGCACCAGAATAAATAGGTGGCTTACGGTAACATGCTGAAGCCATGGAACACTAACCGGATAGTGTGAATTTAAGTCTTGCCATTTTTAAGAATTTTTATGAGTGTTGTTTGCATTCTGCAGGAGCTCTTTCAGGAACAATTGCCCTAAAACACTGATTCAGGTTTAAGTGCCAATATTTCAAAATGCTTTATAATCAATATGCATACCCAAGGTATTCTGAAAATTGATGTGCCTAGCAAAGGGGAGAACTAAAAGTACAAGTTTAAGATACTTTGCTTCAGTTGGTCCTTCTGCACAAAGGAACTTATTTTCATGGGCAAGATGCTTGATTACATACATAAGTGCATTGTCTTAAAAATTGTAACAGTAGGGACTGAAGCAAAATTACTGGTAAAAACTTCAGTTCGTTTGACTAAGGCACTTGCAATATGCACTGCCCACAGTACAACATCTTTCAGCTTTAAATGTGTTCTGAAGTCTGTATACATAACTGAATGCTGGTGTGTCCAGGCAATGAATCATATTATCCTGCAGGAAAGTTATGAGACATTTAGTCCAGGCATTCCTCAGATGTAGCTCTCCTCAGGAAATAGCTGATTTTATTATTGAAAGTGCTTTAAATTCCATGTTGATAGTGAAGTTGTTTGGAAAACTGATAGACTTTAAATGAGGGTAGGTGAACAGGTGGAGAGGTTGTCTGAATCCCCAAGAACTAATGTGAGAATCTCTATTAATTTCTATGAATTCCTTTTAATGCACCTCCTGTCAGTATGTGTGAGCTATTCTGTATTTACTCTAAAGGGGCTAAGGTCCCTCTCTTAAATACTATCCATTCAAAATCAAGTAAAAAATCTAGGTCTCCCCCATACAGTTCTCTTACTGCAATGATCAAGAGATGTTTGCCTCATGGGCCATCAGTTATTGTGACCTTTCCTGTAGTCCCTCTTAGGCTTCAGTACACAGACCTTTCTCATGGTGGAAAAAACAGCTTAAAATGTTTTTACCCTCCGTTCCCTGAGCCATTCATTCCTGCTTTTGCACTGGAGTTTTCTGCCCAGTCTGGCTATGAGGCTGTGTTATAGCCTGGACCAGGAATATTGTCTAAGGTTAAAAAAGAATCTGTGGGGTTTTTACCCTAATCCAAGTTTCTGGCAACAAGCAGAGCTGAAGTGTCATTGGAGGTCTGAGCAGCAGTACTCGAATTTATGTTCTGAAGTGAGGCTGTGCTAGCACATGCATTGTCTGAACCTTGAGGGTTGTACATTTCACCTTTGCTCTATTAGGTGCATGTCTGTAGGCTTCTTTTTCACTCCTCAGCTCCATAGTTACTACAGCTTTGTTTAAAAAATAAAATAGGGTTACATTTCAAACTGTATGAAAGCTGACTGACATAAGTAAACCATGGCAATACAGCAGATATATAAGTAATGTTAGTGTTGTGGCATCCAGTTTCCACTGGGCCAACTTTACATCCCAACTCAGGTGGAAAAATTATCACATATAAAAAGTTTACTTAGTCAATTTACTCAGCTGTCTGATTCAAATGCTGGTTTCTCAGGTGGCCTCAGTTACAACCTAAACCATCCACTATCTATCAGGAAGCTTTCATGTGACATCCCACATGTAGGTCCCACTTGTGCATCCTCATTAACAATGCTTTACTGAAAAGAAAGAGATTGCCACAAAACTTTAAAAGGTCAGCCTAACCAGTGGTACTTTACTTTATTGCTGAATGTGGGCTGTACCTATACTTAAAATCCCTGAAAATCAATACTACTAATAAAGCTTTTAAATTTAGAGGGACCAAAAAACAGAGGATTGAATTTAATGCTAGGGAAAAACTGACAACAAAGGAGTGACTGTTGTTCTCCTGTCAGTATTTCTACATGTAGAAATGTATAATACATGGGACAACAAGGAACAGTAGCTTCATTTAGTATTTAGATTTTCCTAAAACTTTGGGCAGGAATGTGCCAAGATGCTTTGGAGGGGAAGTCACACAAAGGAGCTGCGAAACAGAAGAGTGTTACCATATTTAGCTAGCAACTCTCTCTAGGCTTTTCCAAAAAATGCCATTTGGCCTAATAATTACTGTGTGAGTATTTCAAGGAAGAGTAATAACCTTGCCAAAGTCAATTCTTTGCCCAAAATTACTGGAAGGTATCATCTATAGTTAGTTTTATTATAACACAGGAGAAAAAATCCCATGAAGGTTTTATGTTATGCTTCAGAAGAAACTTCCCCCAGAAGCTCAAACTGAAACAGACCTTATGGAAAAGGGTAAGTCCAAATTTGAGTCCAGATGGCTTTTAAGTTTTTCAAAATAACAGGCAAGTGAAAACAAACTTGTAATGGAACGTGTCAAGCAGCTACTGAGGCTGCCTATACCAAAAATAACTTTTTTAATTGGTATAGCTTGAGATGAGGGTTAATCTATGTATGAATAAATTCTTCCATGAGCAAGGGGAGTACTAAGGAAGCCTGCTTTTGTATTGGTTTTATCCCTAAACATCCACGCCATAGTAACACGCCTTTCCCTCAGTGGCGACAAGACGGTATTAACTACCTTGCTGCTGATTTTCACTACATTTTAAGGAACTGTGACACCTCTATCCTTCTCTTAAGTCTGTCTGAAAATATTAAACAGGTTTATAGGTCATTAGAGAGACTCTAATAACAGATATCACATAAGGTATAATTTCTCAGGCTACCAAATATAAGCACTCTTTCATTTCCAAAATAAGGCATTTCCTTTTAGAGTGCTTTATAATACATAGCTATGCAACTGCTGTAATTCACACAAAGGGCAATTTTAGTCCATGTAGACAAACACTTAGGATGCAGTCAGGTAACAAGACCCAAGCTGACAAGATCTTGAGAAGCCAGGATGCTTCTTAAGAAGCCATCTATCAGCAAAATGCAGTAACTGACAGTCTGCATATTCTCAGCTCTGCAAACGTAAATAAGTTAGCATGTAACTCTCTTAAAATAGAACTAAAACTGTTGTGACAAACAGCTATACAATATTTCTGAAGTAAAATGAGTATTTATTAGTGACTAAAGCAATGTCTCCCCCTCACCGTTATAGCGATAAATGTTAGATGGCTACGAAGCAGGTTTTTTCTAACCCTCACTGAAAAAAAATATTCTATGTATTCTTTTCTTAACTTTGCTCTGAGGGGCCTAATAGATTTACTAATAATATTATAATAATAAATAAATATTTAATAATAGTTAAGTGATGTGTTCTTTCAATGCATTTATTCCAAATTGTTGTGTTGCTTAAAATACTATAATTATTGAGATGCTCATGTGTATTTTTAATGCTGGTGAGGGCCTTTAAATTTGGCAGTAAAATGGCTTCTGTGACAGGTATGAGCCTTTTGTAATCTCCCTGATGAACTGCCACAATGATAAGCCCTTTATGAGAACCACTTTTTGCACATGCTCAGCAGTGGCTCACCGCAGTTTGACAGCTACGGTCTCTTAATTAAGAGTCTTTCTGTGCTGAGGTGCTGAGCTGGACATTCCCTGCCACTGCCACTCTAGGTTGCTGGAGAGCACTGCAGGAGCAGGCATCAGAGCTGAAAACAGGAAGACTCTTCTCTATGGTCGTGGTGTTCTTTTACTGCCAAGTAAATACTAGAGAAAAAACCTGAGTGAAATAGAGAAAGAAAGTAAAATCCATCAGTCTGAAATGCCAAAAAAATAGTAAAAGCTTGGACTGGAGGAGTTTGGGTAGAGTTTGGGGACCAGGCAGCTGGTTGTTGTTGTTGACAAATTGAGAAAAGGAAATCAGTTTCAGGAAAGGGAGATCTGGGACTAAGATAGCTAAGGGATGAGAAGGCTGAAACATAACAGGAAGTTAAAGGGGAATCCTGAGGCTAAATGAAGAAACTGGAGCAAGAAGTCTGAGTTGGGGGAATAAAAGATTGGGACAGCGGAACTAGCAAGGAGGCCAGTGAAGCAGGCAAAAAGCTGGTGGAAATTGATAGTGGGACTGGGAGAAGAAACTGTGATCGTGTGTGCGCTTGACAAGAATTAAACAGAACAGGGAATAGGGAGCAAGGGCAGCCTGGGAATGGCTAAGTGTTCTGACCAGAGCAGGAAACTGGTTGTGAGCCACAGCCAAAAACTTAGAATGGGAAGTGGGGGGGCTGGAGCTGCAAGAGGAATCCTGCCACTGAAGACATCTATTAGTTTGGCAAGAAGTCAATGACAGAGAGACTATACTAAGATTATGACAAAAAAGAAGAGGACCGGCAAGACAGATATGAGTGGATGGGGACATAAACATCTAGCTGTGGTGAATAAAGTCCTGTGCCCACTAGATCACACCCTGGCAGCACTTTGAGCCAAATCTAAGTTTCTTCACTGTTAACATTCTTCTGCTGTCAGCCAGTACTTGTGGAACTCATTACCATCTCATAACGCCTCAGTATGTGTTCTTAAGTGGATTTAAGACCATACTGCCATTGAAAAGGATGAACATGCATTCCCTCCTGCCTCTGGGTGCCCTTTTCTTGCTTTAGCACTAAGGAGTATGGACCCCCAGTAAGAACTGATGCAGCTCACAGATCTAATCAGACCATAGATACTATTTTGCAGAGATAGCTTTCAGTAAGATCAGCAAGCTGATCTGATTTACTGTGTTTCTACATGATTACTCATATCAACCAAAGTTAAAATGGCAGAAGCTGCAGAAGAGACAGATCGGAATGCAGGAAACACCTCCACTCCCCAAAGTTTTTATGACTACCTGGTCCTACATCAACTTAAAACACCCTGAAATGATGCTTTCTTTCCCCTCTATTGGTAGACCATATGGAGGTGGATAGCTTACTAACAATTATTCACTAGCTGAAATGGTAAAAACCTCTTTTCTGTAACTAGAAAATTAAACCCTGGTAACGAACAGTAATGCTACAATCTGCATGATGCCACACAAGGAGATTTTAGAGTTTTGTATGCTCCTTTATTTCTCTAGAAAAAAACTAAAAAGAAAAAGCTGCATCAACACATTATGAAACTTGTAAGATATATCTGAGATAAAGATTTAAAGTTGTCCTTTAGAAAAACAAAAAGTATGCAATTGTATAACTAAAGGCCGTACCATAATGTCTATAAAAATAGAGTTCCATTAAGGCAACTTAGAGGTTTTGACGTCACAACTTTCATAATGTTCTTTAATGTTTTCTGTGCATGTGTAGTAGTACACAAGCTGTTTTGAATCTCTGCTTAAGTATTTTAGAAAGGCTGAGGAAAGAGAAGGGAGAGGCATGTGTGTTTTATATGTGTAAGCAGGCTAACTAAGGCCTCCATAGCTGAGAGTGAAATGAAAGGCACTTACATCATACTGTTTTCCTGCAATAAAACTCTGAACACACCAAGGATTCTGGAATATTCCCTTGGGGTTGCTTATTGGCACCTGCAAAGCAAAAAGAACTCTTTGTATTGTATTAATTATAATGTCTCTGTACCACCATGGTAGAGCAATAGCACTTTCTTTTTCACTCTGAGGCAGAAAAGGAAAAGTCAGTTCTAGCCAGCTTATTTAAATACCTATATCAGTTACCTAAAATTCCATATACAAAGTTCATGTTACTGTGCTCATAATTTGTTTGAACTGTATAAATGTGAACAAATTTTTAATAGTTGTCAAGGGAGAATGTGTAAGGCTTGCAAAAGATGACCCCAAGTTCACAGAATCACTCTGCCTTTATAGGAAGTGGACTTTGGTTTGGTAATTAAATTCAAAATCAACAAAGTCAGAGAGGAAATGTTTCCTTTGTACAGGCGTATCTACCTGGAGACTGTGTGCCTGCATAAAGTGAGTTTGAATACGGTCAACTGGCAGCTGTATTTGCAGAGCAGACTTCTAAGAATTATCTGGCTGGTTGCATTGGTAGACCAGATCTGATGTCACCAAGGGGACTCATAGGTGATGGTAGTACTGTCACGTTGGTCACAGCCTGGCTCATAGCAGAATACTCAACCAGCTAGTTGCACAGATAAGCTGGTCTCGACATAAGTGATTTTCTTTAGACTGGAACAGACAACAAAAGACTCTCCCTTTGCTACTCTTGATAACCACTTGTGAGGTTCATCATATATGTGATGGAATGTTTTTGAGCTGGTTTCGCAATTTATTTTCCCCACTTTTCTTCAAACAAAAGATAGTTGAATTCATGTTCTCAAAGGATATTGCAGATGGAAAAAAGTAGTTTGTAGTGATGACTAAGAAGGTTTAGTTTCAATTTCCAGAGCCAAAAATTAACTGTATGAACTGGAAGTGGGAGGCTTTAGGTCTTAGTGATATTTTGCTTTTAAGCAGAGCAATGGGATAGGTTCACTTCAGCCTTTGTTCCTAGCACAGGCATCTGGAAGAGGCGTTATCTTAGGACTTAGTCAAGATTGTGAGTTAGCATCCCTTTCCATCAGAACCTTGTGCTAGTGTGTTAATTGGGGAAGATGCTCATTTTGTTGTTGTTTTGCAACTGCTACCTGTGATATATATGATTTATGTGACACAGACTTAATACGTTTATTTTGTGGCAGACTACACATTGGAGGATCAGTGCAACTGAATGTGTATTGACCAAAAAACCACATTTATTATTATAGGAGCTTACAACAAAAACACAGCCAAAACAATTTTGTGGAATGCATAAAGTGCTTGAGAAAGAGGACTTATTGGTGGATAAGGAGGAAAATGCTTACACCAATCCGCACAGATTGTCAGCATTACTGGAGGCCCTCTGAAATGGTAGTGGAAATACCCGTACATTTTAGAAGATGGTTCCACTGCTAGAGGAGTTGCTCCAAGTGAGTAAATGCCCACTTAAGTAGGAAAAACCCCTTGACTTTCACACATTTGAAAGGTTTGTTTAGCTGTAACTAGAGACCTGATTCTGTGGGTACTACTCTATCACAGAGTGAGATAGCAAAGGCTCCAGGGAAAGTATCACCAAAAAATGTACTTGTTTTTTTTTTTGCCACGTGTCATTATTTTCCATGAATGCATTGCATTAGCTGATAAAATAGTCTGAATGTGTCACCAAACATGTCAGGCTCACCTGCACTTGGAGATTACGTCTGAAGATTAAAAAAAAAGATCATCAGAAAATCTCTGAAGAGCAAATTTGACATTATTCACACTTTGAAAACCATCAATGCCAAGGCTATTTGGCATAAGTGTATAGCAACTTGGTAGTATGACAGTGATGGCAATCTCTTCTACATATTTCTCAAGTCACTCTATACATAGCAAAAGTATGAAAAATCCAGTGTGAAAGGAGTCTTGGTAATAAATGATCTATACCAAGCTGGATTTGAAAGGAGGGGGGGTTAACAATTAATTCTCTGGTTAGGTTTGTAAAATAACATGAGATATGTTCTCTCACCCCTGTGCAGTTATAAATTAAACTGAATTAAAATATGCTGTCTGAGCAAAATCATATAAAGTGGTAGCAGTGTAAGCTTCCACAGATTGTTAATGACTCCTGAAGTGTAACTGAGTTGCTCTAGAATTTAACGGACTATGTTTCTGAGTTCAGAACTATCACCTCCTATTTAAGATGCTGCAGTCTAAGGTGAAGAGGAAGAAAGTATCTGAAAAATTTATCCCTCAAATCACAGCTGGAAAAATTAACTTTTTTTCTGTGAATGTTGTTATTATTGCTGCTGTTGTTATTTTTATTGTTATTATTTCCCTTTGGATTGAAAAGATTTCATTAAATTTATTGTCAACTAACCACCAGTTGCAAAGTAGGAAACAAAAGTAGAGCCTTACAGAGCTAGTAAGGTTCTCAAAACTTAGAAGTGACTGAAAAGTATACACAACGAAATCTGACTGGGTATGTTCAGCTATGAATCTAAGTCAAAGCCGACCAGTCTGAGTCATTTTTATATCTCTAATGACTACTGTCACTAATTAAAAAAACTGCAGGAATCCATTTACTTGCATGCAGGAGAAGAGATGAGAAAGAATTTAAACAAAGCCAACATGAATCTCGACGACAGGATTTGTTTCACAAATGGCAGGAACTCAGGATTGGTACCAAAGAAGACAAGGTAATAGAAAAAATGTTAGAAAAAATAATAGAAAAAAGAAAGAATAAACACCCCAAGAAATTACAAGAATTGTCATCAAGCACAGATACTGAGCTTTTGGATTGTGGATGTTAGTTGACTACTCAGGAATAAATTGTTATTACTTGATTATTCCTTATCAACCTTTACCTTAGTGGATACTTAACAGCCAGAACTTCAAATTCCCCACAGGGATAGAATTTTCTCCCTCTTTTCAGGCATGTGCTTGTTTTCTGGAATAATAGCCATGTGGGGACTTTTTATTTTGTTTTTCCTTCCCCAAAAACATTTATAATTCCCTAACAAGATTTAAATAGAAGTTGCATTACTTCAGCAAGCCTGAATCAGCAGGGCATTAGTTTTCATGTTGAAGACTATTTATAGTGAATGGGAAAATCCGTGTATGTGCATAGGTGTCTTTCTTTAAGGTTTATGTTCCACTTACAACAAAAATTGTTTCCTTTGTATCCTAAGATGTGAAACAAATTCTTAGGTTGGGCAAGTCTTCAAAACCCAAGGATCCTAACAGCTATGCAAATAATGTTTTAAATATTTTTCAATGTGTCAGGAATAGCACAGAGGCTGGTTATTCATCTTCACCTTCATAAATTTCCTCCATCCCTTGAGATTCTAAATTAGCTGACAGGTTTGAAAATTCTTCTCAACCAGTTGGACAGAAAATAAACCTACTCCTGCCTTGTTCACTGCTACATTTTCATCATCTGGACTGTAGTTGTGTTTCATGTCACTGAGAAAGTACCCATGATGAAAGCTAGGAAAGGCTCTTATGGAACAGAATAAATACGGTGGAAAGCAGACTTTGAAAATATATACACATATCTTCAATAACTGTTGCATTGTTTCATCTCTGTTGAGAACATTCTTCCAACCATTCTCCTCTTCAACTTTCTGTAAGTAAACTGGTATTATATTTTCTTATGTGACATTTCCATGATGACACCAAACACGTACTACTTTAACTGACCTTAGAATATCAGATAAATGTGAAAGTATTGTAACCAGTTCTCTTTCGTTTATGTTCCTCTGTTTATTTTTGCCAGATACTGTTTTCTTCTTACACAATGCAATAGGAATGTAACTGTGACAAATGTGGGTGTGCCTTTGAGTAATTTTTTATGCTGTGTTTGGATCTGGCCTTAATATAAAGTTTCTGTGCTATACATAAGGCACTGGACATGTGATTTTCAGGTCTTTGAAGTGCATCTGCACTTCCAGCCAGGTGACAGACACATACATATGGACACCTGGGCTAACCTTCTGTGGGTGAGAGTATTCCCATAATGGAGTGGTACTTTCATTAATATCCCCACTGGTTTTTAAAATCACTCCTGTAACTCAGGTTATTTGACCTGAGATACTCTTTCACAGTTGATTGTGTCAGTTGTTAGAGGTTGCCTGTCCCTGGGGATGAGGGAGAATTATGATAGACATTTGATGACTATCAGCATGACTATGTTATTCCTGCGTATCCCTATGAAGTGGATTGGTTCCAGCTGGATCTTAACCAGAATTAAACTAATTATGGGCTTAGGCTCTTTGGTGTTTCTAAAATCCCCTTTTCTCTCATATTTTATTCCAAGTGCTAAATAAAGATGCTTTCTTCTAAAGGAAGTGTTTGACAATATCAAAAGAAAAACAGGTGCCTGAAACCAGTCAGATCTGCAGGATAGGCATTAAGATAGTGCTTGCCTCCTGACAGAAAATAAAAGCAAGATTGTACACAAACACAAGCCCAGGATCAGACAAGTCAGAGAGGAGCCAGAGGTGAAGTCACTCCTGTAACACTGAAAATGACAGGATTCTGATAAAAGCTGATACTGACTGCTATGTACTCTTAGGCCTACAACTCTCTGCAAGAAAAAAACAAAATCCAACCACCTTTTGAGTTTATTACCCCTTGAATACACATACATTCTCTGTCTGAGAATGAATACTTCTCTAGCAAAATTATGGCTGCTGACTCTTAGAATTTGCATCATAAAAATTTGACCCTTTGAAGTCAATGAGAGTTTTATCACCTGACTAATGGAGTATGTAGATGAAGCATAAAAATCTGTTTTGTCATATTATATGCAACTTACTGATGATTTTCTTTAGTATGTTTCAAGTATGCTGAAGAACAATTAATGCAAAGAATAGGACTTGAAGTAGGCCCTGAGCCCTTAGCTTCTCCTGATTTATGCAGAAGCAGGGAAGTTTCTTCTGTGATGCCACCTCCAGTTTCCTTGACACGTTCCACATGACAGATTCTCTGAATAGAGCCAGGGAGTTAACAATCACTATTCTCTGCTCTAGACTTAGATTCTTTTAATAGGAATATAATTGATTTCTGATACATTTTTGATGGTTGACAGGGATTTTTTCCTTGCTGTTCTGCAGAGCTTTGAGTAAAAAGTCTATTCCCATGGAAAGTATTGGTGTTCCAGCCTTTGTAAGTGTGGAAAATCCTTTATTACACTTTAAAATTCACATATGCAGAGACAATTTTAAGTGGTTCTGAGGTCTTTTGCAGATATTACTCTTAAGTCTTCATCTTATCTGCTGAACCTTGAACTATTACAGTCATGTTAATTTCACCAGCCTTTATAGGTTCAAAAGATACAGACAACAATTGCAATACTGGGTTTTTTTTTTCAATTGTTAAAAAATATTCTTCAGGTAGTTCCTCTCTCTTATATGTATTATATTGAAAAAAATATAACACTATGATGTGATATATAAAGACATTATCTTCTGTGCTCATTTGGGATTACCTGTATGAATAATTAGTAAATATTCTATTTCTGAGTAACAGAATCATCCCATATTTATTTTCAAAAAATTTTATATTATGTAGTGTTTATGCATGCCTGTGCTGATCTGAGACTGCATCTCTGGGGAGTGCATTCCAGGCGATGTTACACTGATGTTATTACAGCAAATACAGATAATAATGCCTACAGTTAATGGTGCTCAACACGCTCTATTACAAGACATGTTACATTGTTATCTTTGCTGAGTTTCAACCATTTTCAATATATGCTTTTTGATGAATCCTCTCAATATTTTACCTGAAAAGATTCAGTTTGAGGTTCTGTTTTTTTTTTCCCCCAGAACAATGTTCAGGAAAAATATGTTCTTTGAGTAGCTTTTGTAGTGTCTCGTTGGGGTGTGCCAACAATACAACTTGACAGGTGCTTGACTCCTTGAGAAAGTACCCACTGGAGTGTCCTCGTATCTCCTTTGCTCACTTCTTTTCCTTACTGTTGCATAGGGATCTACAGGTAAGATTACAAAATGTAGATGTACGGAACTTTTAACGGCAAGAATTCCTTTCAAATTACAGCAGTGATCATATTTGGAATTTCAGTACGCCAAATTGACATAATAGACCAACACGGTTGACAGTTAGTTTTTCAGTTTGATTAGATGTGACTTTAGACCATTTTTGTTTATTAACTTTTTAAATTTTTTTTTAATAATAATTACTATTATGCTGCAGCATGAAGTTTTAATGCCAAAATGAAAGACAGGCATTGTGCCTGTACTAATGCTTGACCTCTAGAGGAAAAGTCATTCCCTATTGCATTGCTGTAGAAAGACTGATAAAAACATATCCATGCCCTGCTAAAACACAATCTCCTTGTGTAAGGACAATGAACACAGTTCAAGTCACCATACAGGCTTGATGGCACAACCTAGTAACGTCTGTACTAGTGAATTAGTCTTGTCTATTGACAGCAAAGCTTGAATAATGATACCAAATGATTACCAGTTAGAAGCTGCTAAAATTTAACAAAGCAAATCCAGTAGAATTCAGCCTATCCTAATACAGGCAAACTTCTGGAACAAGGCCTTTTGTTCCAGTCCTGCCAGGCTAAACAACAAGGCTATTGACTGTATGTGCCAGCCTTTGTTAGTGGGGGCTACCTGGAAGGATTAAAATTGCATGAATCTGCAATTTCAGACCCATTAATTCTCAGCTGTAAAATCTCCAACTGTAAACTGACCCAAGAAGAGTAGTCATGTTGACTTAAGCTTCTATGTTAAAGGATCATAATGCCATGGTCTAGCCCTAGGAAATAATTTTTTTTCCGGTGCCAGTTCTGAATAAGTCTCAAGAAACCACAGCTTAATTCTGATCTTTGATATCACCACAATTATTGCTAAAGGGCATTAATCTACCTATGGACCACCAGTCCGATCAATAAGCCATATGGACAACTTCAGAGAAAGATAGGAGAGAAAATGAAAGACATTCAGACCACTACCTCTTCCACTTTATCACACTTTTACTAAGCTATATACTGACATGAACACACTTCCCCAAAAAGGAACTGTTCACAAACCCCCTCCAAGGAAAGACATTCGTTTTTTCACTAAAGATTCTTTACCTTCTGCTCTCCTACCTTTACAGAAGATAATTTCTTTTGTTGTTGCTGTTCAGGCTATATTGAATTCACAGTCAAATCTGCAGTCTAATGATGAATCAAGCAGATATTATACTTTCCCTATGCTGAAAAGCAGCTTGCAGTGAAGCAGTTTTGTGTGAAGCTTCTCAAGCACCAGACCTAACCGATTAGCATAACATTCTTATATACATGACTAAAACTTTTGGTAAGAGGTACTAGTACAACTCAGCCACACTGCAGTGCACTGGATAGACCTACTTTATGATGATTACAGAAAGTCTAAATTTAATCCACTGTATAGAAAACGTTCCTCTGGATATTCAAGGGAAATCAAACCCTGGATCCCACGTATCTGCATCTGTATTCCCAGTACTAAGGGGAAGCTGCAGGCCCTGTTGAATTCCAAGAGGCAGCCACAAAACCAGAGGATCAGACCTAAGCAGATGATCCCATGGATGTTTGTTTCTTTGTCATTTACTTCAGAAAACATGTTGCAGTCCTGTGAACTTGAGGAAAGAAAGAAACACAAGCTGTAACATTCTGCCAGCAACTGTGGCTGACACATCACACAAGCATTTGATATTCTGACATCACCATGATAAAATAAAATTGCTCTTCCAGTCACAGAAAAATACAAGGTTGAATCTTGAAACTTAAAGAAAAATGTAGATCTTTGGCCAATTTCTGATCTCAAAACTTTACTGTTGGATCCAAAATTTCTTTTTGCTCATAATAGTGCATTTCTGTTGCTCTAGAAGGTAACTTTCCTTTGAATTTCTCAGTTTTCCTTTCTTCAGTTATTTAAGGAGAAAAGATAGTTAAGCTTCTTACTTTTCTCCTCTGAATGGAAAAACTATTGGTGTTTTCTAGTGTTTCTACAATTCAGAAGGAATACCTGGTTCTTTTTCAGTACCTGCAAATGTCCTTATAATGGAAAGCAGCTAACAGTTTACCACCCAGGCTTTCTCTTCACTTGGCACACTGGTTATAGGATTTTGAAAAGGCTTGATACATCATGTTGAGGAAAAAAGAAAAAAAAGCTGGAGATTTTTAAACTCTGGAAAAGCCAACCTGTAAATACCAGACTTGGAGCCAGAAAAAAAAAATCTTTTATGAATAGATCTCCTGCATGAGCTGTATCCCAATATCTACTTCATTAAAAATCTGTAGGGCTTGCTGTATCCTCTACAAAACTACAGAATTTCACTTGTCTCTATTCTCCACATATGTACTCGAAAACTGCATTTAGTCATGAGAACTTAAGTTACAGATTCCAGAAAAAAAACAAAGAATGGATCTCTCTCAGACATGGTACCTACGTTTACATCAGTTCTCCACCTACTGCTTTCTTAGCTTATGACACTTCCTTTCAAAAACTGAAGAGGACATCCCCTAATTCAGTTTTCAGGTTCAATTGTCTTCATTTCATAATGATCTCTACTTGATTATGAGAATGAGCAAACTGTTATGGCTGATCAGCCAATTGAAGTGTTCCCAACCCAACTATTAAGCTAGGATTTTGTTTTCTTAGCTGTTTTATAAACTCATTCTCATCCTCACCAAGGCAAGGGAAACTACATTCCAGTGGTAGAGAGCTCTACTTTGAATACAGCCAAGGAGTTCAAGGAAGTAGCTACAACTTTTTATCTCTGATGTGGACCTAAACATCTAAACCCTGCTGGTGACCCATAGGGTGAGCTGAAATTGTGAGCAACATGACTGTACAAGATCATTTTTATTTTAGATCATTTTAGATTTCCAGTTTGGAACTTTTAAACATAAACTTCTTTAAAGTTAGGCAATACTTTTATACCTTCACGGTCTATGTGTGTTCTCCGATCAGCTATTCACATTAGCACTTCTATGGAGCTTTTGCCTTATTCAAGGCACAGAGGGCCTTCTCGGAAAATATCAGGAATGTGTAGCAGACAGATTTACCAGGGACATAAAGAGATAGATATTAATCTCACCTCTGTTACCACTGACTGCATGGTTCTCATACTCACAGCTATCTATGTCTGTTTCTGTATACTGATGGAAGCTGTCAGTTTTAAGGTTCCAGTTTCATGTGTTGCAGAACTAGAAAGGTGGGTGGTGGCAGAGGCAGGAGAATGGAGGAAGATAAAAGCAGGTCCTCTAGATGAAACATGCATTTTGTCCTATTATAATTTAGTCATACTTTCATCACAAAGCTCCCATTTGATACTAAGCAAGTCATTTAAAACACGTAAGTCATGGATGGCTTCTATATATACTTTTTAAAACTCAGTTCAAGGTACTGGGTACCTAGCTGGTGTCACAGAAGCATCCAGTATTTACATTTGTGACAAATACCTATAAAGATGCCACTTTTAAAATAAAAGGTACTATATTCTCTGAGGTACTTAAATCTAGGCCTCTTTAATTGAAATCAGAGAAATCAGTGGACACCCCTGACAATATTTACTGTAATTTCATGTCTCAGTTTTAGAGGGGTAGAGGTTGGATGATAATACGAACTCATTTCATGGGCAGAAGGTGAAGATGAAAAAATGGTTGTTAAAAAAAAATATTCCAATAAGTCTATCATTGAAGTACACAACGAAATAGGGGATCATCTGCTAGCATTCTTTGAAAGTGCAAATTTTCAGACACAAACTATGTCGTTATCATTAAAGACCTAGGTAGAATCATAGAATCATACAACAGTTAGGGTTGGAAAGGACCTTAAGAATATCTTGTTCCAAAACCCCTGCATGGGCAGGGACACCTCACACTAAACCGTCTCACCCAAGGCTCTGTCCAACCTGGCCTTGAACACCGCCAGGGATGCAGCATTCACAATTTCCTTGGGCAACCCATTCCAGTGCCTCACCACACTAACAGGAAAGGCTTTCTTCCTTATATTCAATCTCAACTTCCCCTGTTTAAGTTTTAACCCATTACCCCTTGTCCTATCATTGCAGTCCCTAATGAAGAGTCCCTCCCCAGCATCCCTATAGGCCCCCTTCAGATACTGGAAGGCTGCTATGAGGTCTCCACGCAGCCTTCTCTTCTCCAGGATGAACAGCCCCAACTTTCTCAGCCTATTTTCATACAGGAGGTGCTCCAGTCCCCTGATCATCCTCATGGCCTTCCTCTGGAACAATCCAACCAGTTCCATGTCCTTTTTATGTTGAGGGCACCAGAACTGCACACAATACTCCAGGTGAGGTCTCACGAGAGCAGAGTAGAGGGGCAGGATCACCTCCTTTGACCTTCTGGTCACGCTCCTTTTGATGCAGCCCAGGATACGCTTGGCTTTCTGGGCTGCGAGTGCACACTGAAGCCAGCTCATGTTCATTTTCTCAACAACTGACACCCCCAAGTCTTTCTCCGCAGGGCTGCTCTGAATCTCTTCTCTGCCCAACCTGTAGCTCTGCCTGGGATTGCTCCGACCCAGGTGTAGGACCTTGCACTTGGCATGGTTAAACCTCATGAGGTTGGCATCAGCCCACCTCACAAGCGTGTCAAGGTCCCTCTGGATGGCATTCCTTCCCTCCAGCATATCAACGTAACCACACAGCTTGGTGTCATCGGCAAACTTGCTGAGGGCACACTCAATCCCACTGTCCCTGTCACTGACAAAGATGTTGAACAAGACCGGTCCCAACACCGATACCTCAGGGACACCACTCATTACTGGTCTCCAGCCGGACATTGAGCCATTGACCACACCTCTTTGTGTGCGGCCATCCAGCCAGTTCTTTATCCACTGAGAGGTCCATCCATCAAATTGATGTCTCTCCAATTTAGGGACAAGGATGTTGTGTGGGACAGTGTCAAATGCTTTACACAAGTCCAGGTAGATGACATCAACTGCTCTACCCCTGTCCATCAGTTCCGTAGCCCCATCATAGAAGGCCACCAAATTGGTCAGGCAGGATTTCCCCTTAGTGAAGCCATGCTGGCTGTCACCAAGCACCTTGATGATTTTTTATGTGCCTTAGCATGCCTTCCAGGAGAATCTGCTCCACGGTTTTGCCAGGCATGGAGGTGAGACTGTAGTTACCTGGGTCATCCATTTTCTCCTTCTTGAAAATGGGGGTTATATTTCCCTGTTTCCAGTCATCAGGAACTTCACCTGACTGCCATGATTTTTCAAATGTGATGGACAGTGGCTTAGTAACTTCATTTGCCAGCTCCTTCAGGACCCACGGATGGATTTCATCAGGTCCCATGGACTTGTGCACGTTCAGGTTCTTAAGATGGTCACAAACCAGATCCTCTCCTACAGTGGGCTCAAGGTCTTCATTCTCACAGTCCCTGCATCTGTCTTCCAAGACCTGGTAGTGTGGCTGGAGCATTTGCCAGTGAAGACCGAGGCAAAGAAGTCATTAAGAACCTCAGCCTTCTCCAAATCCAGGGTAGCCAGTTCTCTTGATAGCTTCTGGAGAGGGCCCACATTGTCCCTAGTCTGTCTTTTATTTGCAATGTTCATATAGAATCCCTTCCTGTTATCTTTCACATCCCTAGCTAAGTTTAATTCTAACTGGACCTTAGCTTTCCTAACCTGGTTCATGGCTTCCTGGACAACATCCCTGTACGTTTCCCAGGCCGTCTGCCCTTGCTTCCACCTTTTATAAGCTTCTTTTTTCCCTTGAAGTTTCTTCAGCAGCTCCTTATCCATCCAAGGAGGTTTCTTGTCCCTCCTGCTGCACTTCCTTCTCGTTGGGATGCAACACTCCTGAGCTTGAAGCAACACCCCTGAGCTGTAAATAAGGTAAGGTATGATGATGTCAGTCAACAAAAATTACCAAGAATCTATTTATAACCGTAATTACCATTCTTTTCTTTGTATATGTAAATCTGATTGTATTACTGCCTTAATCTAATCTAGAAGTCATAGAATCATCATAGAATCACCGAACGGTTTGGGTTGGAAGGGACCTTAAAGATCATCTAGTTACAACTCCCCTGCCATGGGAGGGGACACCTTCCACTAGACCAGGTTGCTCAAAGCCACATCTGGCCTGACCTTGGACACTGCCAGGGATGGGGCAATTACAGCTTCTTTGGGCAACCTTTTCCTGTGTCTCACCAGCCTCGTAGTAAAGAATTTCTTCCTAATGTCTAACTTTAATCTCTGCTCTGTCAATTACAATCCATTTCCCCTTGTCCTATCCCCACATGCCCTTGTAAAAAGTACCTCTCCAGATTTCTTGTCAGCCCCCTTTAGGTGCTGTAAGACTGTTACAAGGTCTCTCCTAAGCCTTCTCTCCTCCAGACTGAACAAGCCCAACTCTCTCAGTGTTTTGCAGGTCAGTGAAAGTAATGCCATAGAATCATAGAATCAACTAGGTTGGAAAAGACTTTTAAGGTCATCAAATCCAACTTTTATCCCATGTTTGAGAGTGTGTGGAAATGTTTTAGTAGTTTAGAGAATTAGGAGGCTCTCTCTTCTAGACTTTAATGTAAAGAACCTTGTTTTAACAGTTGCTTCTTCAGGTGATCCCATTTTCCTCAATGTGGCACAGAACTAAAACTGTTTTTCTTCCTGAAATGATATCTGTTCAAACTGTTCTCATTACAAAATTGGAAAAACAGTCCTCAGTTTGGTTGGAAGATATGGATAGCAAGAAACGCTTTTTTTTTCTAGCATTTTTATTTCTTCATTTGAACTTAAGCATCTTGGACCACTCGGAAGGCGAAAGGCCAAGATGGAGGTGAAGAGGAGGTGAGGAAAAGAAGAGGGACAGAAATTAGGGAGAATATCAGAGGGCAAGGATGAGCTACATCCTGGGTGTTGAGATGAGGACAAAGGAGCATAGGATCAAAATTAAAAAAAAAAATTAGGTGCAAAGGAATATTATGTATTTCATATCTAAGCTGTCAACATACTTTGGCCAGTATGGAGTTTTAGATTATCCAGTAGGTTTAGATCAAGGAAGCCTGGAAACATGAGTAGGATTAATCTCAACTATCTTTAGGCAGTTGTGGAATAGGTGCCATACTTCCAGTTGGTAAAAATATAAAAAAAAAAAAAATTGTTAAATTCAACAAAGTGAATCAAATTTAGACTTCGATTCATCTGATCAGACAGAGGTGTCTACTTTAAGATGAGATGAAGCATGCTGTGAATTCCGTTGACAATGTTGACTAGCTTTCCATTGACTGTGAAAAGATAGCATAGGATGATTTGATCAGATGTTAATGCCTATAGCATAGACCATCACGTTTAGCCATATCATTACTGCCTTTCAAAATCCTTTAGCTCATCACTATCTCAGCTACTAAATCCTTCATTTTCAAGCCCTACTCCCAAATACTAAAAAGTAGATAATCACCTTAATATAACTGATTGTAAGTTATTGATAGTCACTTTATTATCATGAGTTATGACCTTGTATATAAATACCTGCGTATGAAACAAGGCCATGATCCCTTGGTTAGAGCAAATCATGGAGATGGAGAACCATTCCCATCTAATAGAGATCTCTATAGTGTTTCCGGTACCATAAACTTCCAGCCAGCTGTGGCCTGCCACCATTAACTATCTCAAATTCAGCTATTCCACCATCCATGAGGATCTTCATAGACATTACAAAGGCATACAGTGAGGTCAAAACGGAGTTGACCTTTCAAATGAACTTTATAACATGATCTTATGTACCTTAGAACATTCTTCGTTCTGCTAAATAGAAGAATGACTGTCCTCCTGACTTTACCAGGACTGTCACTGTAGGTGATTGTCCACTTCAAACTGGAAGTGCCATGTGTGTAGGGTAATGCTTCCCACTCAGCTGACATTGCTCAATTCTGTCCAAAGCTAGATTAACCAAGGCTGTCTCAAGCACCTCTTAGAAATATTTGCTGCCACTGTCAAAACTCAAACAGGCCTGGCTTTCCACTTTTCCAGGACTGCTTCCTTACTGTATTCCATACAACTTCTCTACTAGAAACACCTGTATGCAATGTTAGTAAAGCCATTTAGGAAGTTGGCATGAAGATGGCTTTCAACAACAAAAACATTGTTGAAAATTGAAATCCTGCCTCAGTGAGTAAAGGTGAAATACCTTAAGAAGTAAGAAGGAAATGGTGATCTAGACAATTCGCCATAAAACCTTCGGAAAACTTGACTTTTTTCTAGTGAAAGCAAGATGAGAGCAAGCTATCATGGAAGTTAGTGAAGCGAAGTCCAGCTGGAAAATCTGGGCACCACTACTGCATGGTATTTTATAACAGCATGGTTGATTCTCCTGAGAAGTCTTATAAAGCAACAAGGATAAAAGGTTAGAATAGAAACCAGAGAGGAATTAAGTGGCAGTGCAAACAATGAATATATGTAACAGAACTTCTTTCACTGAAGATGAAACATGGAGTGTATTTGAAATGTTAAAAATTAGTAATAGCTCTGAGCTTTTGTTGTTTCCTTGAAATACTAAAATTAGAGCAGTACTGATGAATTGTGGTTTTTTTTTAGTCACCCAGAAGATCAAAATACCTAAGACCTGGTTTACTGCAACAGTAAGACCATTAGTAAAAATTAAGATGTTCTATTCTTACGCCGTGCAAGCAAAGTAATGTCTTTAGCAACCACTGCTGCCATCTCTTCGCTAAAACATAAGTACCTATTACCTTAAAAGATTGTCCTTCAGAAGGTGGGTACAATGATGGCATGACATGTACCACTCAAAAAGGATTCAGACCACATCTTAGGAACTGTGATTAAATGCTCACCTCCAGAAGACAGTCACAGAGTTCCTAGATCTTGACTGTCTCAATTTCATACAGGCCTATCCTTTTGTCAACAATCCTCTTACTGTCACAGAACGACCCCCTTTTGCACCACTTAGAGTTCAAGACTCGGTCTTGAAGATCTCAAGCAGTGGTTCAAATACCTTTTAATAGGCTGGTTAGGAAATTAGGAAAGTATGAAAAGTATGAAAGTTGTTAGATGTCTTATCTCCATAAATTATGTCTGTCTAGCAGTCCAGAACCAGAATTCCAGTTATCCAGAAGAAGGATGTTGACTTTGGAGACATGATGTATTTGTCACAAGGAATGGCCAGGTTAACCACCTCTGAGATGGGAAACTCCAGCTCTTTCTGCATAAATATCCCAAAGCCTACAAACGGATCAACGTCTTCCAAATGGGTACTTGCTAGACAATGGTCCAAAACATGTTTATCAAAGTAGAATATTGAGTTTCTTGGCTTTTCAGAAATGTTTTTGAAGGACTTTGACAAAATAAAGAAAAAAAAAAGAGGTAACTTGATAAAAATTTAGTTGAGCCAATGGGTTCATTGATCACACAAACGCGATGGACTCTTCTTTAACTTGTGCTGTTCTACATCTACCTGACGTGGTACAGAATAGGAAACACTGGAACAAATGCCTTGGTGTGATGAAAGGCAGAGTAAGGCACTCCTCTCCTGACACTGGTTTTGTCCCACCCTTACGCCTTTTTGAGATCAGAAGCTGTCATGCAGAATTTGCTCTTGGAGTAATTTGTCACATCTACCTTTGCACAACGATGTCTTCAGTTCATTGAGCTAATGGGTTACTACACGGCACCTTGCTGGCACAGTTTCCTATGAAGCACTCCCAGATGACACATGAGGTGACAACGACAAGTTTTGTGGTGTAACCAGTACTGGACTCATAAGAAAGTCAACAGCTCATCTACTTTCTGTTGAGCCATCATCCAAGGGAGGTCTTGGTGTAGGGCCTTCCTGACTCTGCAAACATGGTCAGCTGCGAGGTGTAAGCTGTGTGCAATGATCATGGGGGGCTGCTTAGTTCTCACACGGATTTGCCCACGTCCTTTACTTGTTTACGGCAAATGCATTCCACCAAGTAAGTTCGCACAGAAGAAAACGTAGACGGATGCACTACATCGTTGCTTGTACATATGGTGGTAGAGTTGGCCAATGGGTTGGGATGGCCCCATGGGGCTGGACAAGCTGTGGTGGTGAGGAGAGGGACGACTGCGGGTACCAGAAGCCCCGGGGTAGGGCAAGGGGGGAGCAACGAGGGCCCCGCACGTGTGTGGGCCCCGTGTTCCACCACCCCCACCTCCCCCCCCGCGCTTCCCGCCCGCCTCTCGGAACTCCTTGGCCGTCCCGCACCAACCCCCATCCCCGGTTCCCCGGGCGCGGCCCCGCCGGCCCCCGCGCGCCGCCGGGGCTCAGCTGAGCAGACAATGGGAGATCAAAGCGGGGGGAGGAGGAGGAGGAGGAGGAGGAGGAGGAAGAGGAGGATGGTGCCGGGGGCGGCCGGAGCCGGGGCGGGGTGGTTGCGTGTGGCGCTCTCTGAGCTCGATTAGTGTTCCTGGGGAGGGAGCGAACGAGCCGAGCGAGCCGGGGACGGAGGGGTGTCGGTGGGGTGTGTGGGGGGTGTATGTGTGTGTGTGTGTGTGTGCGGGGTGCAGCCGCCGTGCGCGAGTGCGTGTGTGCGCGCGTGAGAGAGCGTGTGTGTGTGCGCGCGCGAGGGAGAGAGTGTGTGCGTGCGTGCGTGCGTGCCGGCCTGCCGGGGCGTGCGAGAGAGGCAGCGCGAGGGAGCGGGCGCGAGCGGGGAGCCAGCGAGTTGCGCAGCTGCCGTGCGCGCAGACCCGCCGCCACCAGCAGCAGCGGCGGCGGCGGCGGCAGCACCTCACCGGCTTTTAGCGACCGGAGCTGCGAGTTGCGCTGGAGAGAGACGCGCAGGGAGGAGGAGGAAGAAGAAGAAGAAGAGGAGGAGGAGGGGGAGGAGGAGGAGGAGGGGAAAAGGAGGAGGAGAAGAAGGATAGCGGGAGGAGGAGAAGAAGAAGGAAAAGAAAAAGAAGAAGAAGAAGAAGAGGAGGAGGAGGGTGAAGAGGAAGAGGAGGAGGCCACACGGACACCAACTGAAACAAAGTATTTCCAAACCAGCACCCAACTCCACCTTGTGAGGCTCCCCAGCATGGCTTCCGAGGAACTCTACGAGGTAACAGCCCCCGAGCGCCGGCCCTGCCCCCGGCCCCGCCGGCCACCCCACCCCACCCGCCTTTTTGTTGCTCTCGGGAGAGCCGGCGGTCTTGTCACCCACACTTGCTGCGGCTGCCCCTTCCCGCTGGGCCCGGCGCCTGCGTGTGTGCCCCCCCCGTCCTCCCCCCGCCGCCCCTTCCCTCCCCAGTTTTGCCGGAGGAGGACGGAAATGTGACTGAAAGGAGACGGCAAAGTGTTACCCGTGGCCTGCGCTCTCCCCTTCTCCCTCAAACCCCCCCGTTCACACAGCACTTTGACTCTAGAAGGAGAACGGGGCGGGGGGCAGAGGATTCTGGATGGGGTGAGCAGCGCTGACAGCCGCGACTTGCTCCGGGAGTGAGCACGACGAAGTGCGAGCCCGGCGGTGTGCAAAAATGCGTGCAAAGCCGAGTTATTGCATGTGTCCGGAGGGGGAGGGAGGGCAAGAGGGGCTTTCCTCCTGGATTGGTGTCTGTACCGAAGTCCTGTGCCACCATCCTGTGCCTTTGCCATGCAGCAGGCTGCGATGATGCAAAATATTAAAATTTAAACTCCTCGGCTCTCCGTGCTCTAACGATACGGTTAACGTTGCAAGAGAAGCCAAAAATATTCAAAGTTAAGGTTCTGACGTGCCATCCTTAGCTCATCACTCGGGAGCTGGTCAAAGGGTGTGCTGACGGGAGGGGAAGGTTTTGGGGTGAAGAAGGGAATGAGGTGACAGCCTAACTTTGAATTTCCTGTCTTATGTGTGACAGTTTTACATCCTTGCCCTTAATTGAAAAGCATTATGGCTCTCTTGGATTTAACTTCCTTGTTTTTATTTTCACAAGAAGTCTTCCCTAGGAGTGAAAAGCTGTTGTTCATTTGGAGCCATTCTTGTCTTCTGGGTAAAAAAGTGGCCACCCAAACCCAAAACTGCTTTATCTCCTAGTTAATGTACATCCAGGCAGTGTTCTATCAAAAATATTTATATCCAGAGGCTGGAAGGATAAGGTCAAAGGGAGACAGGCAGCCTGCAGGACACTTGACAGAACAAGATGTCTTACTGTACTGTTGGTGCACGTGTGTCTCCCGTTAATGCACTTACATTTGTGTTGCTGTGGGTGAACACACCCGTAGAAGCCAGTGAAAGGTGCCCTAGGTGGGCTTACGTTTTAAGCAAGTTGACTGCCGAGCAGAGGTGCTGAACTGATAAGGTAGAAGATACAGGCCTGTATCCCCGAGACAAGATAAATCATGGCCAATTGCTTTGGCAAGTTTCCCCATCCTTATAGCATGCCTTAAGCCAGTCTTGAAGGGATCTCTCCTGGAAGCAGGAGAAAAATTTAGGGACCGGTCTGTGTGTGACAGGATTGCCCACAACTTGCTTTGACTTTGGATGAAGTTCTGTTGAGTTTGTGGACTTGGACCCGTAGACTGTTCTGTGGCCTATAATTGTTCTTTGTGTGTTGCTGTGTTTGATCAAAGACAGAGAATGGGATATCGATTTTGATAGGTATAAGAAGTGACCAGAAGAATTGCATTTGCTGGATATTGGGCTGAGCTTTAGAGTGGCCACTGCTCATTACTCTTCTTGGTTGTTAAAATGTTGACTTGTGCAAAAGGCTCAGTAGGTTGTTGAGCATGGCTGTCCTCACTGGGCAGGCAGTGTGTATAGTCTGCTGGGCAAAAACCTCTTCTGCAAAATGCCTGAAGTTGATAAACTACTTTTTAATTTTAAAAATCAGACACATTCTTTAATTGTGTAAGTTCAAAGTTTATGTGCATGTGGTCAAGCTTTTTTGCTACTTTTTTGTTTTCTAAATTGGCGTTCATTTTTGACAAGTTGTGTCTTGTAGTGAAATTTCTAGCCATGGATGAAAAATCATAAAATAGTAAGTAACTGAAATATAGTGAACACTAATTTAGGAAGTGTGTAACTGCAAGTTGACCTGAAATGTTGACTATTAGCTAATAGTTCTGTGAACTGCCCATGTTGTTGACTGGGGGTTTACTTCTGTTTCATGGGTATTTCCTTTGTGATTAATACCATACAATATTCTTTGAACCTGGTGATTGAAATCCAGTGGCATTTGTTATACCTTCATCTTTCCTTCTGAATCTTGATCTTGTGTCTCAATCAAAAAAAGTGTATAATCTATTTGCAATTGTTAGACAAAGTATGAATACCAACTACTCCTGCTGATATGTGTCATGATTCTTCCAAAATGCAAATGAGAAATCCTCTTATAAACAATAAAAATGATGGTAAGTTTTTTGTTGTTTTTTTTTTTTTTTGTTGTTGTTGTTGTTTTTTTTTTTAAGAAAAAAAATTTTTATGGATCCATAAAGATTTTTTGTGGGAGAGAAGGAGCCAAACTGTAAGCCAGTTAGGTGGAATTCAGAGATTGAAACCTTGAAATACACTACTGGGCTGGAAGGATGACATTGCTGGGCAGCCTGTATATCCTGTATGTCATTAATTCCCAAGCATTTTAGAGGTTGTGGTAATGATTACCTGCATTTTTGAGGCGGGGAGAAGATTTGAAGAAAATATGAAACTTTCATTGAAAAATGCTGGGGAGTCTCTTTTTTCCTTGTTGGAAAGTGAAACACGTAGTAATGTTGCCAAGCTCCATGGGTGAGGTGAATTACATAGTTTTTCTGTTGGTTTGATTCTTCAAGTGACAATATGTTGGTGAGGTAGACAGACATGGAGAAACTGGTGAACAAGACAGGTAAAGGAAAACATATGAAAAGGTGCCACTGGGAATTGTTTCCCCCAGATTTCTTTCAATAGGCATTGACATCTTACAGCATACTTCTTTGTGGGTGCCTGCGGCCGTCTGCATTACTGTGGCTTTTGGAAAGTCCTTTGTACAGCTGCTTGGGCAAATAGTAGGGCTACTTTCTTTTACACTGTGGCAAGTTTGCTTTGCTTTACTGACTGATTCCTGCCATCTGAAAGATTGTTGCTTATTTTCATCATCTTCACTGGGGTAATTAGAAGTGGGGTACCCACCTCATTTTGAAAGTTCTTTTGGAAGCAAACTATGTTTACTTACTCTGCAGTCAAATCACTTGATTTCCTCTGGCAGGCCCTTGCAGTGATGTCCAGGACTGAAGTCATCCTGAGTTGTGGTT